CCATCAGCTTTAATCTTTCTTTTAAAGATCCACTTACTCCCCAAGGCCTTACTGCCTGGGGGTAGATCAACCAACTCCCAAGTATGATTCTGTAAGATGGAGTCAATCTTATTCTTAATTGCTTCTTTCCACAAAGGACTTTCTGGTGAAGTCGCTGCTTCATGGAAAGTTTGAGGTTCTCCCTCTAACATATAAGTCAAAAAATCCGGACCAAAGGACTTTGCAGTCCTAGCCCTCTTGCTCCTTCTTAGCTCATCTACATCTTCAGCTTAATCATCAATTTGATTACGCAAGTGATCATTTGTTTGATTAGCTATGTAATCATTGTCACCTTCAACCTCTTTCATGGAACTCAGAATACATTTTCAAAGAAAGATGCATTTCTTGATTCCATGATAGTATTCTTGTATATATCTGGAATAGCAGACTGAATCATAAGAAATCGATATGCACTGCTATATTGTGCATAACCATTGAATACAAAGTCAACGGATTTTTAGGCTTATCCTAACCCTCTTGGATTTAGGTATTCCCACCTTTTGCATGACACCCCCACATTTGTAGAATTTATACAGAGGCTTTTGGCCTTTTCCGAAAATTCATATAGGGTCTTTAAACAATTCCTTGTGTCACAATGATTAAGAAACTCTCAAAATCATATCACAGTAAATACATTCCCAGAATGTCATCAACCGAATTAGGCACCCAAATATATTTGGTCCAACCTATCACTCTGAAGCCAATAGGCTTACTATTAGGAAACACAAATCCAGTGTTCAATAGTCTACTATTCGGAACTTCATAACCGCCACAGTAGTCTTATCACTAAGAATCACTAACTTCTCAACATGTGGTCAGTAGACTTTCTACTACTAGGAATCACAATGTCTTAACCTGTGATCAGTAGTCACTTTACTACTAGGAGTCACAACGTCCTGACATAGGATCAATAGACTCTTTCATTACTGGGAATCATCATGTCTTGAGATATGATCAGTAGCCTCTCCACTACTAGGAACCATCATGTCTTGACATGCAATCAGTAATCTGTTCACTACTAGGAACCACAATCTCATAACTATGTAGCCAGTGGTCTAACACCTCCTAGGAACCACTAGTTTTCTATCTCTGTGATCAGTGATCTTGTACTCACTAAGAGCCACCAATTTAAGAATATATTTGGAATTTAAAAATCCAAAAAATATTCACCCACTATAACAGGTTGTCTCATCTTTGCTTTCAAGCAAAATCACATAACAATCATAAATGCTATAAATAATACAAGGATACCATACAATTGCCTCTGATCAAATCAGAGAAATTTTTAATGCAATCTTATGATTTCCTTTAATCATACTTGATCTCTCAAGATCTTCCTTTAAGAATCTCGCGAGGCTAAGGTTGTCAGGGGGAATAACATTTCTGTTTGTCACATTTTGAAGCCATTTCTGAAACATCACAACAAAATTTCACTTCTGTGATTCCAGAAATTAAACTTAACCCTTAGAAAATTCCTCAGATAGAAATTTAATTCAAAACTAGTCTCACCATTTAACCTAGAATCGAACATGGTCAGGAATGTTCCCAGGAAGATTGGAAGGGTCACATCGGTCCCACTTAAAACCCAGTTAACCTTTTGACAAAACATCCAAGAGCATGTTGACTCCTAGTCCATGGGAAACAACTTTAAAATTAGGATTTCCAGGGGATAAACCAGGTTATAACAAACCAATTCCCAAGCAAATAAAATTTGCTACCAGAATTATACCACTCATAAAAGTTAACCGGTACTCCCGGAACTGAGCCAATAATTTCTGAATAAAAATCAGAGATATTTTAGCTAATGCTAAAATTTGATTTCTTTTCTCAAAACCACAACACTTTGAAAATAATTAGATTATAAACCAAAACACTTTGGAAATAATCAGATTATAATCAAAGATTTTCTCCAAACTTGGTTTTCCAATACTTTGGAAATAAAATGATTAAACCCAAAGATTTCCTCAAACCCCAAAGGTTTGAAACCAAATCCGTTTTAGTTGTCATTTCTGAACAAATAAGAACTACTCTTTAGTCAAGGCTAAACACTTTGGTTTTTATTACAGAAAACCAAACCAAATTCCAAACTTACAAGCAATTTAAAAATTGCTACAACCAAATACATGCATATAAAATGCTTCTAATAATACAAGCAAATAAAACTTGCTATTACAAATTGATAAACAAACCAACTAAATCTCAAGCAAAAAATGCTTCAACCATTTATATAAAATAGCCAATCCATAAGGATTCTATTTAGTCCAAAAACCTTTCCACGCTTAGGTATTCCTATTCAACACAAGTTAGTAGTCCAAACATTTTTATTTGTACATCCCAAATACTATTTATTTGGTTTTGTATTTGTTTTCCCATTCTCTTTTGCATAAGTATTCCTGTAAAGAAAGATAGAAGAAAAAGCCACAACAAAATACAAACAAATAATCTAAGCAAAAAATAAATATAATAAATAATTGAAACCATTTTAAACTAATAACTTCAAATAAATAAGTTAAATTCAAAATTAATGCACCCAATTAATTAATTCAGATTAATGCACCCAATTAAATTCAGAATATTCATGTACATAAATTCATACAAGTTACAAAACTCTATAACTCCAAAATACATTAAACTAAAATTAATAGGCAATAATTATAAATAATTGTTATAAACCAATAACCATTTAGCAATTAACATGGGAAAAAAAACTAAAGGTTAAATCATGTAAGAAAACTAAAAGCTAGAAACTAAATAACATGTCAAAACTTGCATAATTTACAAACATTGAATTTCCAAGAAAAAACCAGTGGACTAAAACCATAAAATTGAAAGTCTATGAGCAGAACAAGACAAACTCAAAAGTCATGCAAATCATGGTGGAGGAATGATGAACCATACGCATAAAATAAGATCATACTAATACAATGAAGTATGCAAATTATGATAGAGCATTCTAATTAAACTAAGTAATTAGAGAATAACATTGCATAATTTACAATCATTGAAACAGTGAACAATTCTGCAACAGTTTCTAGTAACATTATACAAAACTAACCTAATTGTCTATATAAATCTATTCGATCAATTTCATAGAAAATATATAAAAAAATTTGTTTTAAGCTTGTTGTCCAAATTAATAAATAGATTTATGAAGAAAACAAAATTATATATATATTAAGAACACATGCTGATAATTACAGTTAAATTTCAACAGAAATACACAAAACAATAAAATGGTAACGAAACCAAACCGAAGCCTGCACGGTAGCAATTTCCTTAAAACAGATTTCGCCGCCTCACGGGTCGAGTGCTTGAAGAATCCCGGCGTCTGTCTTCCAGGATACGACGGTCAAAACTAGCTACAGCAAAAGCACTCTCTGCCTAGCTTAGCGAACAAAAACAGTGGCAGTACTCTCTCACTGTAGGAACTTTCAGGCAAACTGACTTGTAAAATGGATCAAAAATTTCTGTGTTTGAGACTTGACAGGAGGGCCTTAATTTATACATGTATAGGGGAGAGATGAGAAGCCTCCAGCCTTTATAGCTGGTCACTAATGTATCATTAACCTCTGCAATAAAGGCAGGAGTTACAAACCCCATTAAGGCACTATTAAACACTGCAATAAAGGCAGAAGTTACAAACCCCATTAATTCTTTCATGAAGCTAATTTCATGTGACAATTTCTCATTCAATTCTCAATGATTTTTGGCTATTCTATTTGTGGTGTAAAGATATCTAGACCCACTTGAATCCAACACGGTAAACGGTTAGGGCCCACTTTAATATTTAATTAAAGTCACCAAAAAACTATTTTTTCCAACAAGAACAACAAACAATAAAATACATAGCCACCAAAAAAAAAAAAAAAAAAGCTACGATCTTATTTTCAATTTTGGTACCCCACTTCGATATATTTTAGTGCATGAATTTTATTATGTTTACTTGTTTTAGATAGTGAAGTTTTACTGTTTTTCATATAGTAATTTCAAAATTGACAGTTAAAATATGCAAAATTAATGGATAATAATTTTAATTGAAGGGTACAAATGACTAAATTATTTAATTGTCTTTTAAAACATAAATTTATAAAAATACAAAACTAATTTTAGATAGATTTTTTTGTGATTTGTTGGGTGATATGATGATAACAATAGTGATAGTGTTGGTAATGTAATAACGGAGAGAATTTCTAGAAATGATAGCAAGAGGGGTGGAGAAAGTATTCAATAAATATTCACCAGAGATTCTTGTTAAAAAATGTTCGTCAGAAAATTGTATTGCAGCCAAAAAATGGTCAACCAAAAAACAATTGCCAGATATGGACACGGAGGTGGTGGCCGGTGGTAGGGCAGGAGACAAGTGAAATTCGCTTGGGAGTCCTTTTTGTCATATTTTGACATTTTGTCCTTGGCGAAGAATTTCTTTCCATTCATGCAAGAAACTTCAAGATTGAGGTACCAAATCAATCCCAGAAACGTCAATATATCACAATGCACTCTTCATAAAAACCAAAATATAATGGAACACTTCATTTTGCTTTTAAATATATATTTTTTTCATTAATTAAGATGAACGGATTTAGTAAGGAGAGGCAGAGTGCAGAGGAAGATGAGAGCAAACCTCAATTTGTAGGTTTGTGTTTTAAATTTGGAAAAGCTTACATTATAAAAACTAATTGTACAAGAAATTTTAGTGGCTAAGATAATTTCAACTCCTAAGAGATGAGATTTGATCATCACTGCATGGGTTGCCTGTGTGCTGGTTATGATTCAAAGTAGTCGATAAGTGTTCAGTAACATGACTTTAGAAGCTTAGACGACCATTTAACTAAATTTGTGCTTGTTATGATTCAAAGTAGTCTTAAAGTGTTCAGTAACACGACTTTAGAAGTTAGACGACCATTTAACTAAATCTGTGTCCGTAAGATAAAAAATGAGAACTATCAAGACTTGCAACAAGAAACACAAAGGGGCCATGTAAATTGAATAAACAAATAGATCCAATAACCTAAACTGTGGGATATCAAGTAAAATCAGCAAATGCTACAACACAAATCGATTAAAAAAAAAGTGGTGAGAGTCAAAGAGCATACTAAACCTGAATTTATCAACCCACTCTTTTCTTTGTTTATGGACAGCCAACCAAACAGCATGAGTTGCTTACAAACTTCTCTTGCTCTTTTTGCCACTTTTCTGTTTGCAGTAAAGAGCAAGAAACATGGCATGGCAGCTGTACCAGCAACAGCTTCAACTGAGTCCAGTTATTGAACTTCTAAAGTCCTTATAGTGCTATTGTTGGCATGCAGATTGTATGTGATTGGTTATAAGGGCAAGGTTGGGAAAAAAAAAAATTGAATCTTCTCAATTTACAGATTTTCCTAATCCTTTTTTAAAATCATATCCTAAAAAATTGGTAGGGCCTAGAAAATCACGTCCCATCCAATCAAAGAGGCAGATCAACATATTGAGACTTAACCCAGAAAGAAGGTAAGGGAACCGAGAGGGCATAGCAGAGATAAGTGTCGAATGAGATAAATGTGTCATCTCTCCAGAGCCACCGTGAGAAACAGTTTTGATGTGATGAGGGTTGGCAACCATTCTCGCTAACCCAGCAAGAACCTGAACACGTCACTTAGTGAAACAATGCCCTCTACACGCTTGCTGCCAGCCTCCACGATTACGAGCCTCCTGACCCCTGAATAAATTTTCTCAAGCTGGTGAAAAAGTTTCATCCCAAAACAAAAGAATAATGAAGAGCTCGGTAAAAAGTAGCTTGTAATGAGTGAGAACTTAAGTTTGAAAATGAGAAATAGAAAACGAAAATAATACTAATACCATTATTATTATTAGGGTAAATTACATTGATCACCATTGACGTGTAGAAAAAATCCAGTAAGCACTACAAGTTTGACATAATCACGCCAATTTTCCTTTTAGTAAGGCCAAAAGTGACTAGAACTAATGCAATAAACTATACATTATCATCATTTTTCCATTTGTCATATGAATTATTGATGAAAAAGGAACTAATTGTTTTGTGAATTAAAAGCTTTAGGAAGCCCAATGTAGTTATGCCAAACTTGAGGGGCCCAATATATTTTCTCTAGACCTCAAGGGAGGTTAGTGTAATTTACCCTTTATTAGTATTATTATTTCTGATGAGTACAAGAAACAAAAACAAAACACAGTTACCAGGATTTGCCAGACGCTCCATCACTTTGTGCAAAGGATCAGATCGTAAACACATCTGACATCTTTGTCCATTAAAGAAGCCATAAGGACTCACATCTTGCCCCAGTTGTAAAGCCTGCAAGTTGGAAAGAGAGAAAAAAAGAGCACATTGAGTTGTCCTTTGTTTCCAAAATATGGTGAACTTTGTGTTCCAGAAAACTAAAATTGGCAGTACATAGAATATCTTCAAACTCTGTTATTAGTTCTTGCTTATTAAACATAAAACAAAAAGGAAGCAAATTAAAATCCAATAAATTGAGCTTGTAAGGAAAAGATTTAAAGAAAGAAGGCCATAATCAACTACTTAATGTGTATAGGATACCGAAGATTCAGTCACTGTCACTCAGACTATCATGCTTAGGAATGCCTCAATCCATTCCAACTATGTGCTCTAAATTTTTTTTTTTGATAAATAACTATGTGCTCTAAACTTTTTTTTTGTGGATAAATCAACTATGTGCTCTAAACTTTTTTTTTGTGGATAAATCAACTATGTGCTCTAAATTAACCATAGCACTATAATACTATGTTCTATATCACAAACCAAAACAATCGGCATGCCGACAACGCAGGTTACAATCACAGATTCATAAGTAACATGGGAAAAAGGGTATAGCAAACAATCATAACAAAGGGAAAAAAAAAAACCCACAAACTTGCTCAGCCCTGTACCATGCAGCCCCGTGGGTGAAAAAGGGAGGTTGTATTCCCTCTAACCCCACCCCCCCAAAAAAATAAAGTAATAATAATAAGAAAAACACCGGATCCCAGCTTCCATGTGTCAGAAAACACTGACAGGTTCAGCCAAAAGTTCGCAAGAGCAGTGTAAAGAGATTCAGTTTTTAAGTCTGGCAAGCATGGAGATGCATGTGTGACTTAGGATGTACATGTTTCGGCTGTTCACCTAGAGACCATCTTTGTGGTGTGATCCAGTGTAACACAGCTGGTCTTGAATGACCTTGTGTTTGCATGTGGGTTTAGGAGTGTAATTAGGTTGAGATATGTAAATGGGTCTATGAGTTGCAGATGACTATGGATTACCATTCTGGGGAGTATCACAATTAAGTTTTCTTGCCATTGCACATGTATGCTGATGTCCAATGTGCACCAACTGGGTGAGGGTTCCATGGCTTGCTGTCATGTTTATATATTGGCACATTAGTTTGGGTGACAATGCAATGACCTGATATCCCTTTCCTCTTGTTCTTCAATAAATATGACTGTCCTTAGTCTCTCAATTTTCATCAAGCATAAACAAGTTTTAGAATTAATGAAGACACTCGAAAATAGAGTTGTTTAGGAAAGCAACTTTTGAGCAATTACCTGATGAATACTCATTTCATCAAGGCGAATCTGTGCATATGCCCTGTCTTTTGCCAAAGCAGTGATGTCACTGTCAAAAGAATACAAAAAGATACGACCTTTAATTACGATATGTAAAAAGTTCAAATCCATACGGATTTTTTCTTTGATAAGTATATCTATAGAGATACTCCATAATAAGTAAATAAATAATGCAGAGAACAGAAGATTACCTTCGACAATATATATCCAGCAATGAGTCATTATCATCCACTATAGGTATCGAACTAACTTCAGCTGCAATAGAAGGTGCAATTGCATAAGAGGAGATGAAAATGGTAGAGAATTTTTGCCAGACGATATTTTGAAATATTTTGTAAACATGAGAATGAAGCATGTAACTGAAAGTCATATAGAACAAAACCACTAACAATGCAAAGCCCATTACATTAGCTAATGGACAAGAGATTCTATTCATAAATTCTTCATTCATCTAAGAACACCAATCCACAAGCTCATTCACAAAAAAGCAACGATATGATGCTTTCTCATAAATTTTATTATAAGATGCAATAAAAAAAATTAGGTAAAGAATTGATAAAGGGACTAAAACATCATCAAATAATATACATCCTGTTGGAACAAAGTTATCATGGAAGAGAGAGTAGATCGCTTTGAGTCAAAAATAAGCAGCTTTTCTTAAGATGATATTTACCCTGACCAATTATTCATGGTATGCATTGGGTTATCGAAAATTTGCCTTTCATATACACTAAAGCCCAATCCAGACTGCATACCACATTGAGGAGAGCTAGCAAAAAAATCAGTGAGAAGAATACTAGTTTACCAATAAGAAGAAGACGGACACGTGAAACAAGACAAAAGCTTCGGTAGTAATGACAAAGTGAGTGCTCTATTTATAAACTTGAAGGTGTCTCATCATACATGTCTTAAAAAACAAAGACACTACAAAATACGCATCTTTTGGAATAGATGCTTCTACAAGAAGGTGCAAATTATGAATTTAAATATCATTTAGTTAGATGGGTTGTAAGAACCCTGAATGTTTTTTGTATATTGCATTGTCTCTAATACAAAGATTACAACCGATATATATAGCAAATCTAAACCTAATCTGAAATAAGAAATAATAACCCTGTACAATCAATCTGATATTCACACAATCAATCTAAAGTATACAATAAACCTAATTGATATATTTCCATAATTAACATATATTCTCACACCCCCGCTCAAACTCAAGGTGGTTTAGCAGAAAACATTAAGAGTTTGCCAAGAAGAAATTGAAAGCGAGCAGTGGTGTGAGTCTTCGTAAAGAAATCAGCAGGTTGCAATGCTGAAGAGACGAAAGGAAGCAAGATGGAGCCAAACTGCAGATGCTGACATACAAAATGACAATCAATCTCAATGTGCTTCTTCCGCTCATGAAAGACAGTGTTATGTGCAATCTGAATAGTACTGCGATTGTCACAGTAAAAGGAGGTCGGAGAAGATTGAGAGACACCCAAATCAGTCAAGAGACAACGAAGCCAAACAATCTCAGCAGTAGCATGAGCCATAGCACGGTATTCAGCCTCGGTAGTAGAACGCTCAACAACAATCTGTTTCTCACTCTTCCAAGAAATCAAGAAATTACCAAGAAACATACAAAAGCCAGAAGTGGACTTGCGATTAGTGACATCACCATCCCAATCAAAATGAGCATAAGCCACCAAGTCCAAAGAGGAAGTAGAAGACAATAGTAAACCCTGAAATATAGTACCCCGGAGATAGCAAAGAATCCGAACCAAATCAGCCCAATGTGTAAAACGAGAAGCAGAAACGAAATGACCAACCACATGAACAACATAGGCAAGATCAAGGCGAGTAACCGTCAGATAGACTATGCAACCCACAAGCACTCGATATAAAGTAGGATCATCTAGAAGAACACCATTAGTAGTGGTGAGCTTCACATTAAGCTTAATGGGGATATCGGAAAACTTAGTGTTAGTAAGACCGACATGATGAATAATCTCATTAGCATACTTGGCCTGAGATAAAAAATAGCTCTTGGGAGAAGAAGCTACCTCAATACTAAGAAAATATCGCAAGGGGCCCAAATCCTTCATTTCAAAGGTGCGAAAAAGATGTTTGACCTCAAAGATAACAGAAAAGTCAGAGTTAGTGATGATCATATCATCCACATACAGTAATAAGGCAACAAATCCAACAGAGGTGTGGAGAAGAAATAAAGCAGAGTCCTGAGCACAAGGATGAAACCCAAGCGCAGTAACAGCAGTCTAAAAACGATCATACCAAGTACGAGGAGACTGTTTCAGACCATACAGAGCACGCCAAAGGCGACAAACCTGTCCAGAAGAATGGTGAAGGCCAAAGGAAGGACGCATGTAAACCTCCTTTGTGAGATGGCCATTAAGAAAAGCATTCTTAACATCTATCTGATAAAGAGGCCAAGAACGAACAACAGCGACAGAGATCAAAGTACAGACATTAGTCATCTTGGCAACAGGAGTAAAGGTCTCCTCATAATCAATACCATACTCCTGTAAAAAAACCTTTGGCAACCAGACGAGCTTTGTAGCGTTTAAGAGAACTATCAAAATGAGTCTTGACTTTGTAAACCCATTTGCAACCAATCAGATTCTTACCAACAGGTAAAGGAACCAACTCCCAAGTACTAGTTTTCTATAAAGCAGACAACTCATCATTTATAGCTTAAATCCAATAGGGATCCTGACAGGCCTCCTTGTAAGACTGAGGTTCTAAAAAAGAATGAATAGTAGACAAAAACATACGATAGGAAGCAGAAAACATGTATTAGACCAACCTAACCTGTTTGGAGGATGACGCGCTCGAGTAGGATATTGGTGTGCAGCAAGATCAGAGTCGTCAGAAGCAGGAGAATCAGTACTAGCAGTAGAGACAACTGGTGGAGGAAGAGCCTGGCAACGAGAATACACTAATAACGGAGGAGGGGTGGTGGGAGGAGAAAGGGAACAATGTCATGGAGACCAATAGAGATGTATTCATTAGGAGGGACCTCATAAGGAAATGGATCAATGTGAACCAAATCCTCTTTGGAAATTGGAGTAGTGATAGGAAGAAGCTGAAAGTAAGGCAGACGTTCGAGAAAAGAAACATGACGGGAGAAGTAAAGACGACGGGAAATAGGGTCGTAACACCAATAGCCTTTCTGAGTAAGACTATAACCCAAAAAGACACATAGGACAAACCACGCACTAAGTTTGGTCCGATCTTTATGGGGAAGAAGGACAAAACAAGCATACCCAAACACACGAAGGAGGGAGTAATTGGAAAATTGAGAGAACAGAGCCTCATAAGGAAACCAATCAGAAAGAAAGGGAGTAGGCATGTAGTTAAGAAGAAAAGCAGCAGTAAGAACTGCCTCTCCCCAAAACGAAGCTGGAATTGAGGCAGAGAGAAGAAGAGACCTAGCTGTCTCAAGGAGATGACGGTGTTTACGCTCAGCTCGACCATTTTGGGCAGGTGTATCAGTACAAGAAGTTTGGTGAATGGTACCCAAATTGGCCAAATAATCACAGAACTCAGTTTTAAAATATTCCGCACCCAAGTCAGATCGTAACAATTTAATGATAGCCTCAAACTGTATAGTGATCATAGACTGAAATGTACGATATATTTGGTAGAAGTTAGATTTATGAGTCATAAGATAAACTCAAGTATAACGGGTGCAATCATCAACAAAGACCCTTTAGTGAGAACAGGAGAGAGTCCCCAGACATCAGTATGCACAAGAGAAAATGGAGAAACAAAAACTGAAGTACTTTTATTAAAAGGTAAAGCTAACATTTTGGCAAGTTTACACCCTCGACATTCATCAATTTGACCAGGAGAAACTTTACCCAATAAGCCTAACTGAGCTAAAGACCGTAAGCGGTCAACAGACAAATGACCTAGGCGAGAATGCCATAAGTAAATCTGACTCGACTGAGAATCTAATTGAAATGAGAAAAAAGCAACTAGAGAGGTGGATAGAGAGAGATACAAGCTTTCTACCACATAGAGATCTCCAATTCTGCGGCCGGTCCCAATCTGCTTCTTGGACACCCGATCCTGCACACAACAGATAGAAGAAGAAAAGATGACATCTAAACCAGAAGTATCAAGTTGACTGATAGATAATAAACTGACAAACCTGAATGAAGAGAGGTGAGAGCAGAGGTAAATGAGGATGGCTGGGAGGTAGACAGGAGATGCTGAAGCTGAGCCATCTGGGCATGCAAGGAAGCCAAGTCAGGATTAGAAGCCGGAGTAGATGCAGTATAAGCCAGTGTTGTCAAAGTCGCGCCAAGGCGCAAGGCGAGTCGAGGCGCACCATCTGCGCCTGTACAGGTACCAGGCGAGGCGGCTTGAGCCAGGCGAGCGACTTAGCCGCGACTTTAGCAAGGCGAGAAAGGCGCAAGGCCTCGCCTAGGCGCGACTGAGCGTTTAATCTGTAGATCAGATCGAACGACTCAGATTCGACTCAGATGAACCTTTCGAATGGCTCAAAATCACAGAGGATCAGAACTCATGTACCATATCAGCCGAATAGGACTCAGATTAACCCTAATCGAAGTCGTCTCTCCCTCTTTCACCTCGCAATCGACTTCGAGCTGCTGGAGCTAGACTTGGTCTGCGACTACGACTGCGACACAAGAGCTGGACTTCGACTGCGACACTGGATCGACTTCGGCTGAGCAGGTTCGACTCTCTCTCCCCTTCTCCTTCTTCTTCGTCTTCGACACTGGTCGTTCGACTTTGACATTCATTTTTTTTTTCCTTCGGCTTCGCAGGTTCAGTCCTCTCTTCTTCTTTTTTTTTCCTTTTCTTTTTTTTTTTCCAATTATTTGAGTTTATGTTTTTTCAACACTGGTTCAACCCATTATGATTATTACATAAATAAATAAATTAATTCATACATACATAAATAAAAAAAATAGATACATTACATTACATCCATTATGATTATATTAAAATTGATTCATCATTATACTGAAATTAATTAATTGATCATTAATTAAAAAAATAGAAAATTGATTAATTAATTAGAAAAGATTAATGTGTTGTGATTAATAAGAATTTAATAAGAATTTAATTGATTAATAAAGATTAATCAATTTATCAATTAATCAATTTATTGTGTTGTGATTAAAAAAATAGAAAATTGATTAATTAATTAGAAAAGATTAATGTGTTGTGATTAATAAGAATTTAATAAGAATTTAATTGATTAATAAAGATTAATCAAT